CTTTTTTTTGTCATGCTTGAATATATTGACTTGATATTTGTTATACAGTTTACACCATGACAAGTTATAGATCAAATTAGCATTTTGTTCCAGTTCAATGAATTTTTCACCGGTAGGGGACTATGTATTGCCAGACAATACTCACAGAATGCTTGTTTCATATCTCTTTCTTTATTGAACAGCATATTATTTTCTATATCAGAAGGTAAAAGCACTATAGGCTTGCATTCACATATCATTATCATTCTTTCATATTAAATTATTCAGTTTTATGTATCTTGTACCTAATATTTTCTTGTTACTCCAATACAGAAGTTATAAGTGCCTTTTCTGAGTTTACTTTTTTATTGAACCTTCTTCTCTCTACTTTTTGTTGTTCCATTGATCAAGTTAGAAGGTTATGGTTACTTATTAAAAAAAACAGTCTTATTCTTCCACATGTTAATATGCTTGTCCCATTAGTTAAGGACCTCATCAGTACATTTTTGTAGTTGAATTTTTTGACAAAATTTAGTGTAAATCATTCCTACGTGACTGCCATCGCTAAAAATATTGGGAAATGAGACTTCATTTATTGCATGACAACAATGAGACAACTATCCAACAAAGACCAAAATACAAGGACATAAGCTAAAATACTACTTCTTACAAGGTTTGAAGTAATAATAAAATACAAGGACATAAGCTAAAATACTACTTCTTAGAAGGTTTGAAGTAATAATAATTTAAAAATACAAGGATATAAGCTAAAATACTACTTCTTAGAAGGTTTGAAGTAATAATAAAATACAAGAATATAAGCTAAAATACTACAATACTACTTCTTAGAAGGTTTGAAGTAATAATAAAATACAAGGACATAAGCTAAAATATTACTTCTTACAAGGTTTGAAGTAATAATAAAATACAAGGACATAAGCTAAAATACTACTTCTTACAAGGTTTGAAGTAATTATAAAATACAAGGACATAAGCTAAAATACTACTTCTTACAAGGTTTGAAGTAATAATAAAATACAAGGACATAAGCTAAAATACTACTTCTTACAAGGTTTGAAGTAATTATAAAATACAAGGACATAAGCTAAAATACTACTTCTTACAAGGTTTGAAGTAATAATAAAATACAAGGACATAAGCTAAAATACTACTTCTTAGAAGGTTTGAAGTAATAATAAAATGATTAAGTAGTTTAAATATCTTTAACTATTTGATGAATAAAAGTAATAAAAGTAGCAGGAGTTCAGATATTTTGTCTGGTGTTTAAAGTTTCTGGATTTTTACCCTTCCCTATTCTTTATTTTACAAGTCTAAATTCTTTGTTAATGAGATGTCAGTAGAATATTTGGCATGAATTTAGCATCTATCACCAGCAAAAAGATACACTGGCAATTCTTTGATGATAATTATCTCCTTTGGATAAATTCATAGTTTATTCTTTAAGGTCGTCAATCTTTCTAATTCACTGAGTCATTGAAAAAATTGGCGTAAGGCTTTCATTTTAGATATGTATGCTACCTTAGTGTTTTCATTGTCTTAGAAAATTTACCAGTTTTAAAGCATTGAACAATCATTTTTGTTATTTTTGTTAGTGCATGGATTTTTTTTCTTGTGACAAACTTTTTTTCCCCAGCTTTATCATGCTTATTAAATAACATATTGGAACAATTTTTTGGGTTGAAATCAATATTGTTTTTATTCTTTTAATAGTTTTAGATAGAACCAAACTATTTTCCCCCTTAATTCCTGCAGAAATAACCATTTTTTTAAAGAAATTTAAAATCAAAACATTTATTTTCAGAACCCCCCCCCCCCCCACCCCCATAAAAAAAGAAAAAAAGATGATCCTTGCCTTATATAGCTTAGACTTTTATTTTGTTTGTCTTTGTTTATATACAGCTGGATTTTTTTGGAGGGTCCAACGAATAACATGAATTGGTGGAATCCACCAGGTGAATGGTGTGTTTTGTTAACTTCCGCTGTCCATTTTTTTGGTTATTCCTTTTATCCCTTATTATATGTGTTATAAAAGTCTTTGAAAATAACATTTTGCAGGAATTTTCTTGCAATTCTTTATTTTTAGAAAACTTCTATAAATCAGGAGTGTTTACCAAAAATTTCATGCCCACTCTAAAATGTCATTAAATGAAATCAGAGTTGAAACATCAGACATTCCCAACAGACTAAATGAGAAAACTTATATAAATCAGGAATGTTTACTTCTAAATTTCATGTCCATTCTACAGTGTAATTAAATGAAATCAGAGCTAGAACATAAGACATTCCTCACATACTAAATGCATATAACATGCTAATATTGACGTGATCGACACTATTGACATTGTGAATAAATAAATCTTGTAATTTTCTCAACACTGAGAAGCCAATAAAGGGTGTATGTTGACACGTAGTTACGCCATTAAATGCATTTCTCAAAACACGTCTGTAATTCTTTTTTATTAGCAATTTTATTGAATTTCATCATGTGTTTAATTTATTACCATTGATGGAGTCTTTTCTCTTGGTACCTGTTTTTATGCTTTTGGAAAATATATAGTATTTTAGAGTTCTAGATTTGAACTTCTTATGCAGTGAAGTAATTGTGATATTCCTTTATATTTTTTTATTGAAAGGTTCCAACATCCTTAAAAAAGCATCCTTATAATCATATGTAACTTCAAATTTAAAAAAAAAGTTGAAAATGTTTTATATACTTGAATGGCTAAGTTTTACTATAAAACAGTTATATGTGAAATTTCTTGTGAATGAAAATCCTTTATATTATCAAAATCTTCATAAATGTACAGCTATTGAATTATTATCTTCCTGTACACTAATTAACCGATATTTTTCCGTATGCAGTGACCTTAACTACTAGACCTCTCGTTAGAACTTCGGCCACTGCACAGCGCAAGTGCGAGGGTAAAACTGTGATGAAAGAATGTAAATAAACATACATTGGAAGGTAAATAGTAATAACTAATTCCTAAAGAAATAAATGGGGAATGTGTCCATGGGACACAGATGATGCCCCCGCTTGCATATAAGGTTATAAAGGGACATAACTTAAGAACTGTAAAAGTGACGCCACCAAAATTCAAACTTGATCTGTGGTTTGTGGTAATTAGCATTGTGCATAAGTTTCATAACATTTGGTTGAGGCAAACTAAAGTTAAAGAACAGAAACGAATATTTCAGCAACTTTTCCATTTGTAAAGGGACATAACTTTAGAACTGTAAAAGTCACGCCACCAAAATTCAAACTTGATCTGTGGTTGGTGGTAATAAGCATTGTGTATAAGTTTTATAACAGTTGGTTGAGGCAAACTAAAGTTAGAGAACAGAAACGAAAAATTCAGCACTTTTTCCATTTGTAAAGGGGCATAATTCTAGAAAGGTAAAAGTGACGCCACCAAAATTCAAACTTGATCTGTGTTTTGTGGTAATGAGCATTGTGTATAAGTTTCATAACATTTGGTTGAGGCAAACTCAAGTTATGGAACGGAAACGAAAAATTCAGCACTTTTTCCATTTGTAAAGGGACATAATTCTAGAACGGTCAAAGTGACGCCACCAAAATTCAAACTTAATCTGTGTTTTGTGGTAATAAGCATAGTGTTTAAGTTTCATAACATTTGGTTGATCTATAAAATTAACAATTTTGAAAATATTGAAGAATTTTACTACATTGTACTTTAGAAATTTTAGTGGGCAAATAATGGCTCTTATATATCATGCCTTCTTTGTACTAACAGCTCTTGAAGAAGATTAAAATATGAAAAGACTTTATACAAATGTAGAAATCCTACATATATTGTTGATTTTGATTACTGCTTTTTCATCTTTGTTCCTAAAACTGAAGTTAACAGAAATATAAAGTTTTTGAGAAAAATTATAACATTGGAGAATTCTTTTCTAATTGGAATTACACTAAATATATATCAAATTTTTTAAAGGATATATTTTTTTCACCATTACTTTAGTTCTAAATATGATTAAATGACAAAATGACAAATTTTTATGAAATTATAACATGCTTAATGGGGTCAGATTTTTTGGGAGAGTTCATAATTTCTCAGGTAATGTTGAGCTTTGATGAATTTGGATATTCTTTTTATGTCCCTTTGGTCATTTAGTACTTATTATTTTTAATTTTTTACATATTTATACATCCCTGGCTTTCATATGATTAAATTTGAGAGTTCCGGATGAAGATAAATCCAAAAAAAGAGTGTGACAGACGCAAGAAATTTAAAAATGTTATTTGAATTTACTAAGAAATGTTTGAATAACTCTAATGTACTAGTTGCAAGAAAATTGGTTTTAAAATTGCACTTTTCAATGTGTCAATCATGATCATGGTTCATTTACATGCAATATGTACTATACTTATGTGTCAATGATTCTTGTAGATAAGTAACAGACTGTTATGCAGTTTTAAGGGAGATTTGAAATGAGATATAAGTACATTATTGCAACTATTGAACTTTTTGTCTCTCATCATATTTGAAAGAATATATTTAATTTTTATGGCTGCTTTTGTCTTTGTCATTTTCAATAAAGTGTAATGCAAAAGCACATAAAAATGAAATAAAGTTTTCATTTGAGTGAGGAAAAAGTACATTTAAAAAATAAAGTATGGGAGTAAATGTCATTGCTCTATTTCCTGGTCAATTTTATGGCTCAGTTAAGTAGGCCAATTTTTAAAATATTCCTTTAATTGAAACTCAAACTATTTTGCTGCATTGGGAATCAACTTTTAACTATCATCAAATGAATAGTTTGTCTTCAGACCATATCTGATTCAATCATATATTTGAAAAATAGTTTTTGTGGAAAACATATTCCTGCAATTGTATGTATATCCATCAAATAAATTACTTGAACAATTAGGATATTCTTTCTTGATTTTATTTCTACACAATGTGACTGGGTTGCACATAAATTCTGACTGAGCATTTGAAATAAAGGCTAATGAGTTCTTCTTATTTTTATTACAGAAAATGCGATTGAAGAAAAGAATAAAAGTGTTAACATCACAAGTTAATGAGGCCAGACAGGAAACATCTATTCAGTTGTTTGAATTAAGAGATGAAATAAATCGACTGACAGAGGAAAATCGTAATTTAAATGGTAATTGGAAGTTTTCTAACTACAAATGTAAATTAATATATGTGAACAATGAAATCAGGTGGAATGTATTTTAATTAGAGGCCATACCATGCCTTTTTTACTTCTTATGACTTTTTTTTATGCCAGCAAATAGCATTTTATTTAATTTTGTTCAATCTTTAAAAGATTTAAATGCAATAAGAAATACTGTTAGGTAAAGGGTATTCAAATTTGAAAAAAACCACTCTATTATAGGATTAAACACATTTTTTAGAGGTTATTGATGTGTAAACTGAGGCGATTATCTCACAAAATGAATAAAAGTCGGAAGGACTTTTATGTAAAGTTTATGAGTCAACGGCCCAGTTAAGACATCAATAACCTATAGAAAAATGTGTTAAATTCTTATATTTCTTAACCCAAACATTTGCAATTTTTGATTAACATTTTTTTCCCGTTGGATACAATTTACCATCAAATTCACAGTTGACATGTCATAACTAAGGAGTGAGCAGCCATGGTGACTTGCTGAAATCCATAAATGTTTTATCAATGCAATAGAACCAAAAAGGAAATAACACCTACCTCAAAAACTCAATTATAATGAAGAAGCTTTGAATTTGAAGCATAAAAGTAACAGAGTAACCATTTGCTTGGGAGTTTTCATTTGTATTAGGTCATGTTTTGCCTTGACATTTATGCACCAAGATCATTCATGAAATTCACAAACAATATTTTATTCTAATTTTATAGATTTTTTTGAAGATTTAATGCTTTTTTTCTTTTTGTTATGCATTACAATAGGAATAACATTTCTGTAATATTTTTTTTGTCAATTTCGATTTTCTTGGAACCCCAGGATTCCTATGCTATGTATCCCACATAAATAGATCAATGTGAAGTCGACATAATGTTTACATAGTTTTAAGAAAAATGTTTCGACAACATGGTATATCGAATTGTAAACCAAGCGGGAAAATTCTAACAGACCAATCACATTGAATTATTTGTAGATATACAAATTGTATAAGAATTATTTATTTATCAATTTTTATGAGATCGAAATGAAAAGATTTTTTGTTGTATATAATTTGCGATGAAAATAGAAACATTTCTAGATTTGTAAATATATTCTCAAAATCATTTTAAATTAAAAATATATATGTCCAAAATTGATATTGTAAAATCTGAAGAAAAAAAGCAACTTCAATTTAAGGCGTCCCAGAAAAAAATTAAAATAGCCTTGCAAGACGTCATAATTATTTGGACTAACCATACTCAGTCGTCTGAAGTTGTTCGGCACAGTGACAAGAAAAGAAAAAGAAGTAAATTTTTTCAAGTTTGTTCACTAGTGATTTTTAAAATGATCAAATATTATAGATTTTAAGCATGAAAGTAATGTACAAATAATTGGAAAAGTTCATCATGATAATTTAAAAAAAGTCTCATAGGCTTATTGATAAAAGAAAAAATACTCCGCTTTGGGAGCAAGTTAAGAGAAGATTAGTAAAAATAAAATTCTGTTTAAGAGAGCCTCCATTCAACTTTATTGTTACAGAAATGAGAGTAGCAATGCCATAAACTGTTGCCTGAATTTTAAGAATAGCCTGAATGAATAAAACAAATGATACTACTTCAGCCCCTAATAATAATTAAAAAAATAATAATTGATAATAATCTCACTATACAAAATTTCCTCCATCTGTTTTATTCTAAATTCAGATTATAAGTTTCTTACAAGATCAGAACAATATTGATTTTATTTCTGAATTTTTATTCAGATACTTTAAATATCAATTGTTTACAATGCAATGTATCTGCCAAATTAGGGGAGATAACTTTTTAAATTTCATCAAATATGCTATATTTCATATATGATATCTATGTTTTTTTATAGAGAAACTTGACAACAAAGAGGGAAGGAGGCAAGTTTTCATAGAGACAGACTACCTCAGTACTAGTATCCATGGTAATAGTAGTCAGATGAAAGTTGTATTAGAATTGTCCAATCAAATTTCAGATCAGCAGAATAGAATTCAGGAATTAGAATCACAATTATTAGACCGAGAAGAGTTGTTAAAATTAAATGGAATATCAACTGAACAGATTTCAAAAAGTAAGAGTAGATTTTCTGAGAATGAACATATTAAACAAGAGAAAAGTGCAATGAAAAAATTGTCTGATAGCATATTTCTAGGTAACGACAATGTTTCTGATGATGAAAATAATATATTTTCTGGAGATGACAATCGTGGGGTGTCTGGTGCTAGTCGAGATTCTGGGATAGGTTCAGCAGGAAAAGGAGGAAGATCCCCAGTAAAGTCAAATAAAAAAAAGCAGCAGTTATCTCCCCTAGATGACTCAGATGATTCATGGGCATCTGATACACCTCTGTCTAGTCGTGATCAAAATAAAATAAGAAGTGCTCCATTAGAGACGCAGCATAAACGAGCAGCATCTAGAAGCAGTGGTAAGACACACGAGTCTGAAGAAGACAGTTTATCAATAGATTATGATATGCCTACAGTGGTCAAATCTGCCAAAATGAAGAAAAAGACATCATTTACACAGAGACTTAGAAGAGAAAATGACTCCTCAATAAGAACTCCTATTCCTTATGAAGCATTTGGTGGGGAAGAAGAAAAAAAGTCAAAAAAGGGTTACATGAAAACAAAAAACCATTTTTTCCTTACTCAGGCATCTTCACAGGGTTCTACACCTACAAATGACATTGATGCTTTGTTAATGTCTTAAGTCATGTTTGTTAAAATACCAATCTGCTATGTTACATTCTTGCTACAGTGTAGCTGTAAGACAAGTCATTAGGGACTGATTTGAGTTTCCTATATCTAGTAACAGCCTATCATCTCAGAATGGTTGTTATTCTCTTTGTGCTGTTTTGGTTGCTGTGTTACTGTGAATTAATACTGGTTTATCTTATATAAACATACAAAGTCACAAACCACAATGTTCATACTAGAACATAGACAATTATCATTCTTTAATAAAATGTTACATGTTTAGAAATCAAGTTTCAAGCTAGAAATCTTTCCTGTATTCCCATACTTATTTACAGTGACAAGTATAAAATTTTTGTAATAAATTGTAAATTTAGAAATGTTTGCCATGTTTTAATTACAGGAAAAGTTGTGACAGGACAGGTTCAACATGCAAAGTAAAGGCTCACATTTTAAATTTCAATACAATTGTATATATTGTATGCAGCATTTACTGAGGTCACAATAATAAATGTTGCATTTTCGATGATTGTTCAACAATCTCATGACAAATGCATGCTATATTTCTCAACTGTAATTTTTGCGATGCTTTTATTATGGCAAAAACTGAATTGGGATAGGTTTGAGTAAAAACTTGTATAATTTAAATTTTGTTACCATTATTTGTATACAGCATTTCCTGCAATCGTAATAATAAACTATCATTTTTTTGCATAATGAATGTATGCAAAAATTCTGAATATACAATAATTTTGAATTTCAAAATTACTTTTCCAATAAATGATGAGTCACACAGTTCATTGGAATGAACAATTGTAAGCCTTCGTTTTAAAGCTTATGTTGTAATTATATCTTCAAAAGTAATTGATTGTCACAGAAGAAGCTGTAATTGGAATTCTCTTCTCTTGGAAAATTCAGTTTCTTAAGCACTTATTTTCTGGTTTTAAATCATAAATCAATTTGAAAGTCATTCAAGACTTTCTTCAAATTATACATAACAAGAAGATTTATGATTTATTTGAATTATTTGGAATTCAATCTTCTTGATGTGTCACCAGTTATAGTATTTAAATGAATTGACAACTATTCTTGAATGTTATTGTTGCCGAAAATAAAGTTGCTTCATTTTATTACCAATTTCCCAGAAAATTTTCAATGTCATATTTAACGATAGTATGTACACTCTCAGATGCTTACAATACACTTAACCTGATGTATATCATGTAATGAAGTTTTACACTCGTCTTTTTTTATAAATTACATTTAGATATACAGAACTATAATAAAATCAATTACTTGAACAAGGCTGTAAAGTGCATGAATTTTTGAAATAGGAAACAGGTCATTGCTTCAACTGACACTTTCACATAACTATTTTAGTTTTTTTAGAGCATATATATCTGAGGCTGTCTGGTGACAACAGTCTTTGTGAACTGTAGTAAGAAAGAAGACACAATAGTTCCAATATAGCATAAGTAGTTGTAAAATGAAATCAATTACTACTATGCCTCTTTTTCTTTTTTTTTTAACTTGGATGTATTTTATTATTTTTATAAATCATTGCCTCTGAAGAAAAAGTGTAAAGGATCACATGTCCTTTTTTCATTAGGTAAAGCATTTTAATGTTTAACAAATCTGAAGTTTCAATGTTTAGTTATGATATTTTGTGATACGAAACCAGAATAAAAAACAGTTTCAATTGCAAAAATGAAAATAACTTGATAATACTCTTACTTATTTATAAGCAGTTTATTTGTTTTCTCAAAGGAGAACTCAATAAAGGACACTTAATATACACCCCCTAAAAAGAATAATACATGAAAAGTACCAAGAACAGAAAAAAAACACAAATGAACACTCAGAATTAAATGCAAAATTATGTTGCATGTTATTAGGCTTGATGACTGTGTGAGCAATAATACAAATGGTATCAGTATTGGATGATTTCTAGGCTATCTTAATCTTTTGTTATTTATGTTCTACTGTTTTGTTTCTTAACAGGGGATGAAAAATTATATTTACTTTATCCAAAGAGTTGTATTGACACATGAATAAGAGCCTTTAACCATGATCAATGTTCCTAATCAAGGATAATTTGAAATGTAGAGTTCTTTCTACGTATTCAGTTTGAATGTTTGTACTAGTGATACTGTCTAGTTTTTCAATTGCTTCATCTATATAACTTTGCAGAATTATTGGTACAGCAATTCTAACTGAAAAAATGTGTATGATTTGAAATATAAGCTGATTTGTTAAATTTCTTTGCCAGATATAATTTATAATTAACTTGTTTATATAACTCTGCACCTGTGTTCTACAATGGCCAGATATAGCATTATTGACATCTCTCAATCAATTCCACTCAAACATGTGCTACCTTGTAAAGACCTTGAAATAATATGAATAGGATTTTTAAGGCTTGTATGTGACCTCAATTTAATTCATTTTTTTCATTTTTTCACTTCAATAATATAATAAGGCAGACTCATATTTAGATTTAACTGATTTAAACAGACATTATTTGACAATTGACTTTCTAATTAAACAACAAGAGCAGTATCGACTAAAATATGGAAATTTGCTGATGTTTGCAAAAATGATTTCCTCATTATTTTAAGTGATCCAAATATTATAACAAAAAAGGTAATAAACTCTGTCATAGAAACTACACAAGTTGGTTTATTATTCTTAATTCCATATAAATATGTTTGGAGATCAATTTATATTTGGTTGACAAAATTTGACTTAAATCGTAAAAATCCTATGACCAGATTAAAATAATTCCTATACATTCTCATCACTGCCCACCCCTGCATTTATTCCAGCCTATAATTATTTTTATGCCCCACCTACGATAGTAGTAGGGGCATTATGTTTTTTGGTCTGTGCCTCCGTTCGTTTGTTCGTCCGTTCTTTCGTCCGTCCGTCCGTCCGTCCGTCTGTCCTGCTTCAGGTTAAAGTTTTTGGTCAAGGTAGTTTTTGATGAAGTTGAAGTCAAATCAGCTTGAAACTTAGTACACATGTTCCCTACATGATCTTTCTAATTTTAATACCAAATTAGAGTTTGACCCCAATTTCATGGTTCACTGAACATAGAATATGATAGTGCAGGTGGGGCATCTGTGTACTATGGACACATTCTTGTTATTTATGATTTAGACATATAAGATACCTATTGTTTATTTGTAGTCTTGAAATCATTCAAGACCATAATAAGAAAAAATAAGAAAGGGGTTACCAGATCCATCAATTTATCTTAAATAATCAATGAACGTTATTTTTTGTATGACCAATTACAAGAAAATGTTCTATTTCACATTCTTTATCTGCATTTTTATTTTTAAAATATTTATTTTGCCAAAAAGAAATGTTTTACAATTGTATAGAATAATTGATTTATCAGTAAAAAAAAACCATTTTGTTATTCACAAGTAGTGTTGTGTACAAAGTAGGAGGAATGTAGTGTAATTCTTGTTTAATGTATCCAGAGTCATATATGTCTATGATGAATATGTAATTACTTGAATATTACAAAAATTTATGTCAAAAAATAAAAACCATAAATATAAAGAAAATGGGCCATAAAGTCATAGAAAATTAATAAGTATTTTGATACTCTTTGCATGTTTTTATAAAATATATCTAAACAAATTCATTCGGTTTTATTTTACTCCTGAGGACCAGTTTAATTATCAGTATTTTATAATGTTACATACTGTTGAAATTTCAATGTATTTTAGTCAGAATCATCTTACATAGTAATCATGGATGAAGGAGATCCAATCATTGAAAGTATCCCTAGGAAGAGGAAGTTTGCTTTATAATTACTGTATATGACTATGAGCCACTACTAATAATAGTTGCTTTAACTAGTGCATGAGTACTAAGCTGAAACCATTGCTTCTAACTGTAATTTTATGCACCAATTACTAGTAAAAAATGTATATACAAAACCAGAGTCAATTACTTGTTTATACAAAACCTGAGTCAATTGCTAGTTTATACAAAACATGAATGAAAGAAGAAAGAAGCACTTGTTGTATATAAAACTGAAATACAGTATTTTATGTATTGTTGATCATCTATTTTATATCATTTGTTGATTTTCCCAATAAAATATTTTTGTTATTAACCTGTTATACTGATTTTGTCATTTTCAAATTGCCATTTTGTTCCAATAACCATCACTAATACCAGAAGTCAGAACATTGTGTAGTCAGAGTTAAGTTTCCTTTGTAAAACAAAATATAACCAATATTGAGACAAATGATATAGATAAATGATGACAAGAGAATGAGACAGCTAACTACCACAATAAAGACAGCATAATGGATATCTAGAAGTCCCTTATTTGGTTGTTTAGTCTATAATTATGAACAGTCATGGTAATCAATAAAAATGTTAAAATCCTTTATACAATTCTCCAAAATATGAAACATCTAATGAAAGCCGCATATATTACACACAAGAACCAAATGACAGAAAAACCCTAACAACACGAATACTGTTAATTCCTGCGTGCATTATTTATTGCGGTTTTTGAAGAATGAAGAAAAATGCAAGATTAATTATTGCGATTTCTGGAAAAGCTGCATACATCATAATTATCAGATATCAGAATGTGGGTTCTTATTATTGCGATACTCACCCAGTCGCATTTTTCAATTTATAAAAACCTTGCAATAATTTCTGAATTTAGAGTAAATGTTTCTGGCTTGTGGGAGGTATATTTAGAAAGTTGGAGGATTAAACTTAATGTTTTAGCATTCAAATCTCATCATATGTGACAGTGGCATAACCAAGGTGTTTAGCCTTTTGTCTGTTTTACATTATATTACTTTTTGTGTTGTTTCACCTAAGGTTTAACTTCAATGTTATATCTATACACCTGTCCACATCAGCTGTATGACCATCTAAACTCCAGTGAGGAGATTAACAGTTAGGTAGATCACTGTTATTTAAGGCTTTGGTTCAAGTTTACATCAAAATTTATACCTTGAATACTGAAAGGTTCAGTTATATATAACTTTGGTTCAAGTCAACATTAAAATTCCAGGGTAGTTCTAGAAGTAAGGTCACAATAACTTGTTTTTAGATGCACTCTTATGATCATGTGTAGGTTGAATATAAAAGGTAACTATATTACATTTGAAACCATGCTTCAAGAACTTGACATAAAGAATGACCAATATGTTTTAATCTTAGTATTAAAAGATGGAGAATCATACAAAACTTAATTGATGGACTGTGTAACTTTTGAAGTTCGATTTATATTTTGGAGTTGTATCCCTATATGCTATATTGCTTAGTCCTGTAACATGGTTTTGTACTACTTCAATGTAGACCTTGAGAGAACTATCACGTAATATTATACATGCACTAGCTTTAATACAGTTGCAAAGTCATTTGTCAAGATTGCTATGAAAATATTTGCATTCTGCTAAAACATGAGAAAAATTCGGATTTTTTCGAAATGATAAATCGATATGGAACTCATTCTTATTTAAATCTTTTAACAATCATGCGCGTAGCTACATTTACGTCAAAACGCCCGTACACATAAATTTTGAAGAAAAAAATAAAAGACAAAGTGACGAAATATACTTTTTAATCAAATGGTATCATATGATTTATTAGGTACTTTTAGGTCATATACATGTAGCTCTGTAACTGTTTCGGTTCTTATACATCCTCGGCTTTAAAATATTCGACTTTGAGCGTTCCTGATGAATGTAAATCCAGAAAAGCGCTCCAAACTCATGAAATTAATAATGTGTTGATTTCATATTTTATATTATATATTTTTTTTCATTTTCTGTCAAAGTCTCAATCTACTGTAAATTCTACTCAGTTTATTATTGTTTAAGCAATTCATTATCTAGTCCGATACGATGTGGCTTGCATTTTTATGTTACAGTTCAATATTTATTTTTACGTGACACCTTCATCAATGAAAATTAATTAGAACATATGTCCATTAACAAAATTTGAGTGTAAAAATGTAAGTAAACTAGATCTATAAGGTCAAACAAATTAATAGAACGACAACATTGAAATGGAGACTTGCTTTTTGACTATCTCTATATAAAGTTTTGATTTTTTGTCGATTGATTGTTTACCCCACATCTCCTTTTAAACCAATCTAATTAAAATATATATCTCTGATTTCGTTATACTCATAAGATACGAGCATGCGAGTAAATATAGATATAAATTTTAGATTGCTTTTAAAAAATTTTTTAAATAACTTTTTTGGGCATTTTTTCTCTAAAATACATTACCATTATATTCCAAATCAATACAACGAATAAATTTAACTGTAAAAAAACAAATTAGACCCTTAAAGAGACGCGAAAGGGATATTCAAACTCATCAGTTGAAAACAAACTGACAATACCATGGCAAAAAACGAAATACTATGAAAAGGCAAACAACAGTATACAAAACACAACATAGAAACATAAGACTTAACAACACGGATCCCACCAAAACCTGGGGGTGATCTCAGGTGCTTCGGAAGGGTAAGCAAATTCTACTCCACGTGTGCAAACCCAGTGATAAGTCTAATTCAGTAGATCACATTAGAGGAAAAGAGGACGGGATTGTGGTAATATCAACAATTGGAACATATCCGTCGCCATTAACCTATACTCGTTACGTCGAACGTAAAATTTTCGAAGGGGTGATTTCAACTTCACCACTTGGAACTCTTGGTTCAGTAGCTTCCTTGTAACCATCCACTATCTATCAAGGAAATGATGATAGGAAATGCAAGCTCTGGAATATCTTATCAACTGGCATGTATATACTCCATATGCAGGTGCTGCTGGAATGTTGCTACACAGAAAAGAAAAG